AGAGAGAAACAGTGTACGAGTAGGAGAGGGGCAGGGAGAGAGGGAGACACAGAATCCGAAGCAGGCTCCAGGTTCCAGGCTGTCAGCACAGAGCCCGACGGGGGGCTCGAACCCACGGACCGTGAGATCATGACCTGAGCCGAAGTCGGGCCGCTCAACCGACCGAGCCACACAGGCACCCCCACGCTTTTTTTGCCTCGTTTTCCGCCTCCTCTTTGACGGGAAACCTGATCTGACACCAGCTTACTGTCCTGAGTCAGACACTGTGCACTCCCTCGGCATACTGCCCGAAGTTTTTTTCTTTCTAATGTTTCTGCTTTTTCTTGTCTTTTACCAAATATGGGTTATGTTTGTGTGTGAGAGATTGGGGAGGAATGTATCGTGTCGTTCTTCTGATGCTCCCTGCCCTCTCACCTGGCGGTTAAGGGCTTTACTCTTGCCAAAGGAGACCCTGGTCAGCTGCGTCCACTGGGTGCCTCGGGGCCCGGGTCTCTGGGTCTGGGGGGGGGGGGGCTGACCCTGCCCGTGACTCGGGAGTCACCACTTCCTGCAGTTTGGACCCAGGCTGTGCCAGCAGCCTCCTCGAGGGCAGAGTCCTCACAGCCGTGGAGGGCCTGGGGTAGCTCAAGCTGCCTAGACTTCGGGTTTTGCACCGGAGGGGCCGCGCTCGGGTCCGGGTCCGGGGAGGTGAGGCCTGGGGGCTGCTGGAGCAGGGCGCCCACGCCTCAGGACTCCTGGCTGGGCCCTGGAGCCTGGGGTCCCCCTCCTCGCCCTGCTCAGCCGGGGCCTCCCACTTGCCCTCCAGCTTCCGAGCCAGGGTCCTTACGAGTCGGGTGCCCATGGGTGCCGGGTGCTGGGGTGCACTGGAGTGCTCTCCAAGCCTGCCCCCACCCAGAGCCGCGGTCTCACAGGAAGCCGAGGCAGTGTGCCAGGGCGGCCATCGGGGCTCGGGCACCCACACCCTGTGCTGTAGCAGGAGCCGGGCTGCAGGACTGCGCTCAGAGGGGGCCCGGTCTGTGTGGTTCCAGGATGCTGGTCTCAGGCGAGGCCTGGCCTCTGAGGGCCGGTCCTGCCTGCTGGGCAGGTGCACCGCAGCCCTGCCCCCTGAGGCCCAGGGAGGAGGGGGCTCCACCCGCCGCCACCTGCCCCTACCCGCCCGAGGCTGAGAGGAGGGCTGGCTGCAGTGCAGAGCCACCCTGTGTCTGCGGGACACGCGGGTCCTCCGTGGCCGCCCCCATCTCCTGCAGGCCAGGATCGCGTGGAGAGAGGGCAGCCACGGCCCCCACCCGGCTTCCTGTGGTCACCGTCAGGACATCACAGCCTGTGGGCCGTCTTACCGTAATCAAGGCTCCCTCCCTCTCTGTGGGAGGAGTGTGTGGGGAAAACGGGAACCCAGGTTTACATCCTGCCGCTGCTCGGGTCTCCGTTTCCCACGCGAGGACCCCAGGAGCTCTCGTGCTGGTTGTTGTGAATGTTTGGGGTCCAGTCTGTGGCCACAGGAGAGCACGTGCCCCTTCCCCGGGGCTGTGGCACGGGCCTGCCCTGCGGGAGCGCAGGCATGGTTGGGCACTTGGGGAGGGCCTCCACCCTCCGCTTGGAGCGGCCTCTTTAGGGGGCCGCTACCCACAGGCCGAATGTGCCTGGGGCGGTGGCCAGGTCAGCCCCGGGCTGGTCTGCACCGGCGGTCAGCTGTGGAATTTTGGAGGGGCCAGATGGAAACTGGGACCGGCCTCGCCTGAGCCCCACGCACCCACAGTGGGAGACAAGGGCTTTCTTGCGTGAACGGGTTTGGCCGGAGTGAACTGAAAACTGCCGCCCGGGCCCATGTGGCCACTGCTATGACCCAGGAAGCCACAGGGCCACGTGGCTTCTGCAATTTGACCCTGAACAGGAAGGATGGAGTGTTCTGTTTTGACATTTATGGGTCCTGATCATAATATTGGTGGGGACCAGGGAGCAGGGGCACCTCCAAAAAGATGGGAACTTGAGACTGGACGGGGCTAATACACACAGGAACCCCGCCACGGGAGCAGGGGAGCCCCGGCTGGTTCTCCTTCACCCAGAGCCTCTGGGTGCAGAGACACAGGTTACAGGGGTGCAAACGGGGGCCCACCTACAGGCCGCATCTGAGCCCAGCAGGCAAGGCAGGGACCATGGGCCCTGGGTCAGGGCCTCTGCTGGCCCCGAGGTCGCCCTCCTGGCCGGCCACCACCAGGCAGTGTCAGGGGGCAGGGAGCCCCAGGGCCTCAGAGGCCTGCCCTCGGGAGACGAGCTGGCCTTCACGTGACGTTCTGGGTGGGGAGTATTGATCTTTTAATGTTTATTCATTTTTGAGAGACAGAGCGTGAGCTGGGGAGGGGCAGAGAGAGAAGGAGACACAGAATCCGAGGCAGGCTCTAGGCACTGAACCGTCAGCACAGAGCCCGACGCGGGGCTCGAACTCACTCACAGACTGTGAGATCATGACCTGAGCCGAAGTCGGACGCCCGACCGACTGAGCCATCCAGGCGCCCCTGGATATTTGCTTCTGGCAGAATGCGACCCCCTTCTTGCCTGCTACCTCCTGATTCCTGGCTCCCCTACACCTTGTTTGCCTTCTTGGTCTGGTGGAAAGACCACAGCCAGCTGAGGATTTCTGAGACCTGGGGGCATCGGTGCTTTGGGCCCAGCCGGGATCCGGCAGCCCCCAACCCGGGGCGCCTTCAGGGGAGGGTGGCATCCTGGCGAGGGAGGTGTTGCCCATCAGGCGGTGGGTTAGAAGGCGCTGGGCCCGCCTTGAGGAACCAGAACGAGAACCTGAACACCCGTCCTCAGCCTCGCCCCAATGACCTTGCATCTGGGAACATCAGGTGCTGGGTGTTTAAGGACGGCAGGTGTGCGTCAGGAAACACGGAATGCTGGCGGCCTAGGGCTGTGGCCTCGGACAAGGCAGCAGTGGGCTCCGTAGCACCCACTTCCCCTCCCGCAGGGGTGTCTGAGCAGGGCGGCTGGCTAGGCTGGCTCCCGGCAGGTGCTCCCATCATACTGGTTCTGCAGCTGCCAGGAGGCCCCGGGCCAGCCCAGGCTCTGCTCTGAGATCGGCACTCAGTTCACTGAGGACTCGGGCACACGATGGCCGCAGCCCCCATCCACGGGTGCAGCCTCACACATGCAGTGTGCAGTGTGTGTGTGTGTGTGTGTGTGTGAGATGTGTGCAGGGAGGGGGGGGTGTCCCGGGTGTGCGCCTGCGTGCACACGTGTCCCTGGAGGGAGGCCCACTCCCTGCTCCTCCCTGGAGGCTGGTGGGCTCAGCAGTGAGCCCCGCGCCGCTCAGGCCTCCTTTCCTGCTGCCAGCACAGCCCACCTCGGGCACTCAGCAGGCGTGGCCCGCGTCGGCCTCTCCCGGGGGCTGGCCACCCCGGGGCAGCAGGCACAGGGCCCTCGGGCGCCGCGTCTGTGGGCCAGCCAGCCGGAGAGTCTGGAGAGTCTGGGGTCCGAGGCCCCGTCACGGAGACCCCTTCCCTCCCCAGGACATGCTGCCCCAGCACTTGCCGCTCCTCACCCTGGTGGGTCTGCTCGCCCTCTGGTCCGGTGAGTTCCGCACAGGCAGGGCCATGCGGTCTGTGCTGGGGGGGGGGGGGAGAAGAAAGGGCCCCCCCTGCATCCTCCAGGGCCGAGTTCCAGCCTTGGAGGGGCGGCACCCCCGGGAACAAGTCCCAGGAACGGGCCTCAGTCTCCCCGCACTCCCCCTCCCGCGAAGCCTGGTTTCCTCCCACTCCTCCTGGTGCTCCGGCTGCCCCTCCTCCCCCACCCACCCCCTGACCCGCACCCTTCTCCGCCGCCCCGAGTGCCCGTGGCTCCGTGCGGGGTTGGCCAGCGCAGGCCGCCGCCGCTCACGGAGCCGCCTCATCTTGCCCCCAGCCCTCGGCCAGAAGTGTCCCAAGTTCAAGGTCAGCAACTGCCGGGACTGCGTGGAGTCGGGCCCCGGCTGTGCCTGGTGCCAGAAGCTGGTAAGCGCCGCCTCAGGCTGCGCCCGCCGAGGGCCCCCGCGCCTGGCCTGCCCTTCCCTCCTTCCCACCGCCCCGCCGGGCGCCCTCTCTCTGCCTCTGGAGCTGCTGGCACCCAGGGGCGCCCACCCCTCTGTTTCCTGGGGGACGTGGGGGGGGGCAGGCGCAGCCCAGGGGCACGGGACTGTCAGAGGGACACGCAGACTTGGCCCCACCCCAGGGCAGCCCCAGGGGAGGCGGGCCCCTGCTCTGTGCCCCCTGCCCGGGCACGAGCCCTGACCACAGACCACAGACCACGAGGAGACACACAGGGAAGTGGACACAGCTTTCAGGAGAGAAGTTGTGGGCGGTTCTGTGTCAGGACCTTAACTCCTCCGCTGCGTTTTTTCATTTTTATGTTTTACCCATGACAAGACCTCCAGGGCACAGTCCCTAAATTGACAGTTCCTGTCCCAGGCCCACCCTCCTCCTAGAGAGAACCCCTCCCTTGAGGGACCCTCAGCTCCTGACCACATCCTCCTCCCCTGGGACGCCCCCAGCTCCTGACCATGCCCTCCCGCACTGGGAGACCCCCGGATCCTGACCGTGCCCTCCCGTCCTGGGGGACCCCCAGCTCCTGACCGTGCCCTCCCGTCCTGGGGGACCCCCGGATCCTGACCGTGCCCTCCCACCCCGGGGACCCCCGGATCCTGACCGTGCCCTCCCGCCCTGGGGGACCCTGAATTCTTCATACTTCAAGGGTCCTTAACCACGATGCATCCCCCTAGAGAACCACAAAACACTTTTCCAAGGCTCCACACTGCCCGTGGCACCTCATCACCCCTGCACACTCTACACAAAGTTTGCCAGTTGTTCCAATAATGCCTTCGATGGCATCTCCCTCTGTCTGTGTGGTGACCCAGGGTCACGCTCTGCACGTAGGCGTTCTGTCCCCCTAGTCGCCTCCAATCCAGGGCCCCCCTCGCTCTGCGTCATCACGTCATTGACATTTCTCCGGAGTTCAGGGGAGCAGGTGTGTGCAAGCCCTCAGCGTGGGCTTGCCCGGCCTCCCCTCCTATTGGGCCCAGAGCGTGCGTTTTGGCCGGAGCCCTGCCCGGGACTCGTGCTGTCACCGCGTCCCAACACCGGTGATGCCAGTGTGGACCGCCCAGCCGAGGGGGCGACTGCCCGGCGTCTCTGCCATGATGTCATTATTCACTCCTTGCAGTTAGTAAGTAATTGTGGGGAGATGTGCCGAGGCCAGGAGACATTCCGCTCCCCGTCAGGCTCACACCCGCTCAGGCTGGCACCCGTAGGTGACTCGGGCACGAATCACTTATCACTTGGAGGGCTGCCAAGTGGTGGCGTCCACGTCACGGACTCCCGCAACGGCTCCTACAGTCTCTTCTCTCTCATCAGTGTGGACCCCGTAGATTTTTATTTTATTCAATAGCTTTACAATCTATCGCCGTCATTCTGAGGCTCAAATGGCTTCACGTTTGGCCGCTGGGACCCTCCCCCCCCCCCCCCCCCCCCCCCCCCGCCTTGGCCTGTGCCCTCATCACTTTTTTTGAGCACTTTCTTACTCCAGAACAGCCAGACGCTCCAGGCCCAGCCGCACTCCCCTGGCCCCAAGGCTGGGATCAGACATTGCTCCGAAGGTTCTGGTTTCCTTTCTCGAGAAGCCTCCGGACAGCTGCAGTCCCTGTCCTCCTTTTCTCAGCCCTGCGAGGCGGGGGCAGCGGCTTCAGAGTTGCCAGCCCGCAGCCCGGCCACCAGCAGCCTACAGAGAAGTGGGGTGTGGTGGGGTCTCTCTGCTCGCATGCGGCACGGCCACAGCCCGGGGGGCGAAACCTCTGCCAGCCAGTTGGATTTCTCCCTTCCCTTTCGTGGGCTCGTTCCGTTCCTTGGGGATACAGCCGGCCTCGCTTCCTTCCACGGGGACCACGTTTGGGACTCTGTCTGTTCCCGTGGATTTCGCTTTGTGTCTCAAGTACTTCACGCACCGACAGAGCTCCAAAGGGACAGACGGGCAGCCCAGGAAGCGCCAGCCCTCGTGGCCCCTCCGTGGCCCCGGCTGTACCGGGCCGGCCTCCCGCGTGGCCGCCTTACCCTCCCTGAGCCTCCTTCTGGGAAAGGAGCAGAGAGCCGCACACGTGGCTTTAGCGTGTCCTCCCTTGGTGCCACCGAACGCGGGCCCTTCTCCTGCCCCGTGCTGTCAGAACCCAGGGGTCTTCGTGGGGTCATGAGGACACTGCCCTGGACCCAGGGCTCCCCGGGTGCCACGTGCCTTTTCTCAGGGCAGAGCCTCCGATGAAGGCTGCTGAAGGGCGTGGACACCCCTGGCCGGGTGCTCCCGGCTCTGGGGCTGCTGAGGGACCCCGCCATGGGCCAGCCTGGGGCTGGAGACATCGGTCCTTCCGTCATCTCTGCTGCCGGAGGCAGTGGAGGGCAGACGGCTGGTTCCCAGACCGGGGGGACGTAGGAGCCCCACGGAGAGGCCACTGGAAGGCAGGTGTCCCCGGCTGCCCAGCCTCCCGCCCACCCCGCCCCCACAAGGACACCTGTCTTGAATCCCAGGTGGGAATAAGGCGGGTCAGCCTCCTCCAGTGACCCCGAGGGCCAGTCTCATGCAGCACCCACAGTGTGGCCCCCACATTTTCTCCACCCTCCTCCTGACTCCTGACCCCCGGTCCCACCCCCAGAACTTCACCGGGCTGGGGGAGCCAGACTCCGTTCGCTGTGACACCCGGGAGCAGCTGCTATTGAAGGGATGTGCAGCTGACGACATCATAGACCCCGGGAGCCTGGCCGAGACCCACGACGACCAGGAGGGCGTCCAGAAGCAGCTGTCCCCACAGAAAGTGACACTCTACCTGAGACCAGGTAGGCGCGGCCTCGGCCACAGATGAGTAGCATGTGTGTCGGTTGCTCTGGGTGCCAGGGCCGACCGATGGCACAAGTGTCCATGTGCCAGGTCGGACAGCAAGGTGGGCAGGAATCCAAGGACGGTTGGAAACCCCAAGGATGGAGTCTGAGCACCCCCGTGGCCCCATTCCCTCTGCCTGCAGGAGGGCGCCCCCACACCCACCACCTGTGGCTATGTGCCTCTGCTCTGCGTCCTTTCCGAAAGGGAGAAGCAACCATCTGGGAAACACTCTTCTGTCCCACTCTCAGAAAGCCAGGTGCTCTTGGCCGAGCAAAGGCTCTGATAAGTCCTGTAGCCAAGGAACTTGAGTGACTGTTTAGATCAGTGTTGCTCAAACTGACTTGACCGCAGAACCCTGTCAGTGCCCTTTGGGAAGGTGGCTGTGGTGGAAGGAGCAAGACCATGCAGTGGACAGGCCAGGGCAGGACGGGGCGGAGTCTGTCCCCCAGCCTCACCTCTGCGATGGCGGTCCCGCAGGGAGCTGGGGGCTGGAAGCGGGACAGAGAGACAACTCGGTCACGCCGTCCCTGATCTTTGGTGACTTATCGAGCATCCACTATGTGACGGGGCGCCCTAGGTCTGGGACAAATAAGCCAGCAATCACACGAGAACGTGTTGTGACTCAGGCAGGGACCAGAGGGGACGTGATCGGGAAGGGGGCCTGCACCGGGATGGCTGGGTTTGCCCCATGCTGGGGGCGCAGAGCGTGGCTTGCAGGGACAGCCAGGTAGACGTGCATCTCGACGGCGCCTGATGAACGAGCGCTCAGCGGTGTGCGTGTGTCCGAATGCCCCATCTAGCTGGGCGCCCTGTGACTCGTCCACGGGCCACGGAGAAGGGGGCAATAGTGAACATTTCGGGACCTGTGGGGGGCAGGTCAGTGCCCCTGAGATGCCTTCTCTCTGCCCGGTCCCTACCGACAGGTCAGGTGGCTGCCTTCAACGTGACCTTCCGGCGGGCCAAGGGCTACCCCATCGACCTGTACTACCTGATGGACCTCTCCTACTCCATGCTGGACGACCTCATCAACGTCAAGAAGCTGGGGGGTGATCTGCTCCGGGCTCTCAACGAGATCACCGAGTCGGGCCGCATCGGTGAGGCTCCCCCCCTCAGTCCTGGCCGGCCCTTGCTGCCCCGGGCCTCTGCCAGGCAGGGCACTGGGGGGGGCTTGCCAGGGCCCCACGCAGGCCACCCCGGGGGCCACCCCCGGGCGCTGTCAACGCCGTCTGGCCCTCCACCTCCTCTCCTTCCTTCTCCTTTGTTTTCTGTTCTGTTCAAAAAACAAAACCTCTACCGTGCTACTCATTAAAAAAACGAAAAGTCAGCAGAGTAGGCCGGCCGCACAGCAGTCACGCCGGCAAAAACAGAAGCCGGCAAACTGTCAGAGTCCTGACCTGCACCGACTCACTTGCCACGTGCGAGTCTCGGGCACACACGTGCGTAAGGCAAAGGAGACGCCTGACTCCCCCGTCCGCCTCCTCCCGAGCCGCGTGCAGGGACGCACGGGCACACCCTCCATCCGTGCACATGCGCTCACACACCATGCGTGCACGTGCTCACACTCGTACACGATCACACTCGTGCACACGTGCCCTGCTGCGCAGTAGGAAAATAGAGGCTCCAGGGCGGGCTTCCTGCCCACCCCACTCGTCCCGCCCACCCCTCAGGCTTCGGGTCCTTCGTGGACAAGACGGTGCTCCCCTTCGTGAACACGCACCCCGAGAAGCTGAAGAACCCGTGCCCCAACAAAGAGAAGGAGTGCCAGGCGCCGTTCGCCTTCAGGCACGTGCTGAAGCTCACCAACAACTCCCACCAGTTCCAGACCGAGGTGGGGAAGCAGCTCATTTCCGGAAACCTGGACGCCCCCGAGGGCGGTCTGGACGCCATGATGCAGGTCGCCGCTTGCCCGGTGAGGCCCCGCCCAGCCCGGGTCCCCCCACCCCTCGCAGGGGAGGCCCCTTCCAGCCCGGGTCCCCAGACCCACCCCAAAGGGAGACCTCCCCCAGCCCCGGTCCCCAGACCCTCACCAAGGGAGGCCCCGCCCAGCCCTGGTCCCCAGAACCCCCCAAGGGGAGGCCCCGCCCAGCCCCCCCCTCCCCGTTCCCAGACTCCACCCAAGGGGAGGCCCCGCCCAGATCCCCAGACCCCACCCAAAGGGAGGCCCCGCCCAGACCGGGTCCCCAGACCTCCCAGGGGGAGGCCCCGCCCAGCCCTGGTTCCCAGACTCCACCCAAGGGGAAGCCCCGCCCCTGTCCCCAGACCCCACCCAAGGGGAGGCCCCGACCAGCCTTGCTCCCCAGAACGCCCCCAAACCCAGGGAAAGGGAGCATCCCCTGCCAGGCGTCCCCAGGCATGTGCGCTAAGTGGCCGTGTCTGCCGTCCCTGGCCCCAGCAGGCCTCCCCCTGCCCCCTGCTGACCCTGGCCTTCCCGCCTGCTGGTCATGATGTAAATGCACGACTCGACTCGGAGGATTCCAATCTCCCAGTGTCTCCTGCTGCACCCCAGACGCACATTTCCATTTCCGCGTGTTGTCCTGTGGACGACACGGGCCGCTAACGTCCCCGGGCTTGCCCTGTCCCTTTGCGTGTCCTCAGGTTCTGTCATCTTTTGTGTCTGCCACGTTTTTACATGGTAGTAAACATTTCCGTGAGTGTTTTCTTTCCTTCTGTGGGGTATTTCCCAGTCCCTGGTCTGAACCGCCACCGCGTCCTGTGCGTGGGCGCGGCCATCGGGAGGTTGTCCCGCAGACACCTCAGGAGCAGGCCACGGTGCTAGAATCCGGCCTGGACACGGGGACCCCGAGCCCCGCGGCCGGTCCCGGCAGAGGTGCTGTGTGAGAGGGGCCGCCTGGATCCAGCCCCCACACTGCGCTGTGCCCACTGGGGAAACCGAGGCCGCTAACGCTGCTGTGTTCTCAGGAGGAAATCGGCTGGCGCAATGTCACTCGGCTGCTGGTGTTCGCCACGGACGACGGCTTCCACTTTGCGGGTGACGGGAAGCTGGGCGCCATCCTGACCCCCAATGACGGCCGCTGTCACCTGGAGGACAACATATACAAAAGGAGCAATGAATTTGTACGTGGCCTTCTGGTCCTGGGAGGGAGTGGGCAGGGTGGGGGGGGGGGTTGGGAGGGAAGGCCCACCTGGGCTCCGCCCCAGGGGAGCAGGGAGGCAGCGCTAGGGGTCCAGGGGGCTGGCGCAAGGGGGCCACACCTCAGGCGGGGACAGCTCCTCGTGGGGCACGCCGCCCCTCAGCCCGGAGAAGCTGGGCATCCTCTGGTCTGGAAAGGTCAGCACCTGTCACAGGAACTTGCCCTCACCTGCAGTGGATCGAACTGCACCATGGAATCGTCCGGGGGTGGGAGGCTGGGCCTCTGGGCCCCAGGTGGGAGCGGCCGGATGGCCTGGTGGTGTGTCCCTGACCCCCGGGACCGGCTGACCAGGCGTCTGTCTCCCCACCAGGACTACCCGTCGGTGGGCCAGCTGGCTCACAAACTGGCTGAAAGTAACATCCAGCCCATCTTCGCCGTGACCAAGAGAATGGTGAAAACCTATGAGGTCGGTGGCATCGGGTCCTGAGCAGCGGGGCGGGCTCGGGCATGTGAGTGGTGCTGGCACCCTGCGTCTCTACGGGCTGAGCTGCGCTTGGGCGGGCGACAGGCGACGGCAGGCGGGGGTGCCCACTCTGGGCCCTGTGCGGTTGGAGGAAGGAAGAAGGATGTTCTCTGTTGGTGAAATCCAGTCACCATGTTTCCATTTTTGCTACAACATAGAAAGTCTTTCTGCAGAGCAGAGGCTTCCTTCTTGTTTTATGTCCCAATACGTTTGAGCGTGAGCGGTTCACGCATTTATCAGGCACATATGGGCAAGTGCAGGACCTCAGTCCAGCGGGATTTCACCAGGAAGCACCCCCGAATACTCTGCAGAGCCCTGGGCCCCCCGCCAGAGCTGCCCCGCCACTCAGAAGCCAACTCTCTCGCACACTGACACTTCCTTCTCTGCTTTGGGAACCCTGGGTCTGTCCTGATTTCACGGAATTACTGTTCTTGTTCCATTCTTCTAGAACATGGGGAACTTTCTGTTCCTGGGGCAGTTTCTCTTCCGTCCTTCCTGCCCTCGGTCCGGCACCGTGTTTGTTTTGCGTGTGCACACAGCCGGCTTGAGCCGGGTTGGCCTCCTCTCCGCTCCCCTGGGCTGGGAGAGCACCTGCCAGCCCCTCCCCCTCCGTGGGAGGCGTGGGGCGCTGGGGAGGGGGCGGCGCAGAGTCAGCAGCTCCTGCTATCAGTTCTCCAGACTCCAAAGGAGGACAGGACCCTGCAGGGGACACAGAGGAGCGGGAGGGGCAGGTGTCTAGGAGCCGTCCTGGGGCAGGCAGGCAGTGGAAGCCTGCCTGACCACAGGGACAGTGGCTCCGTGCAGGGCCGATGGCCGGGGGCTTCGTAACAGAAGATTGCCCACCTGTGCTGGCTGCGTGAGCATGGGCAGGTCGGGACCTGGAGGCCATTTTACCAGACGCAGCAGGTCCCAGTAATTTGCTATTGGGGCAGGACAGTGTGGTGATGGAGTAGAAGCTGAAGCAGGAGATTTGAATCCCAAACCCACTAGCACGAACAGTGCCCTGGCAGATCTGAGCCTGTTTCCTGACCCCGACTCATGGGGCTCTGGGTGAGGGACATCGAGGTGACCCAGAGCCTGTGAGGAGAGCATTTGTGGCACTGTCCTTGGTACACCCGCACCAGAGTGGAGGCAGGTCAGAGGACAGGAGCCCGGCTTCCCGGAGTCACGGTGGGGTCCCGCCCTGGGGGTGAAGGGGAGAGGGCAGCAGAGGCCAGAGGGCGTTGGTGGCCAGGCTGTGAGAGTCCTTGTGGGCTCCGTGGAGGTGACTGGAGTCTCTCCGGGGAGTTACGGGAGGGCGTTGGGTCAGAGAAGTGACTCAGCCATCAGTTCTGTAAGTGAGCCATGATGCAATCTTCCGGGAAGGGTAGTGTGAGGGGAAGGAGGGAACACAGAGCTGTCCGGGCGGTCCAGGTGCGCCACACTGCCCACGTGCAGGTGCCACGGGACCAGCTGACCCGGGTCCTACTGGAGCCCATTATTACAGTCCTGCTTAACAGTCTTTTTTTTAAAAAAAAGTTTAAGTTCATTTATGTATTTTGAGAGAGAGAGAGAGAGAGCATGAGTAGGGGAGGGGCAGCGAGGGAGAGGATCCCAAGCAGGCTCCACGCTGTCAGTGCAGAGCCTGGAAAGGGGCCCGAACTCACGAACCGCGAGATCATGACCTGAGCCGGAGTCGGACACTTAACCGACTGTGCCACCCAGGCGCCCCCACACAGTCGTTATTAAAATTAAATTATATCAACACATTAAAATGCTCAGAACCGATCCCTTCCTGGTGGTTTTGGCACGTCCTACGACTCTGTGCCCTTGGTTGTTTGCACCTGATACAGCCGCATGGTGGGGACACTCTCACGGCGGTGAGGCACGCTCTTCCCAGCTCTGCGTTCAGTGACGTCACGAGCTTGAACTCGGCCGAGGAGGCGTGTTCACAGCGAGGAAATCGGCAAGTGCTCAGCTCAGCTTCTGAGCCACTGACCACACGCTGTCTTAACTGAACGCGATAAGATATCTGGTGGGGGACTCTCTGGGCCATTTTACGAGCAAGAAGGAAACTGGGGTGTTACGGAACCATGGGCTTCCGTGGCCCCAGGGCTGCAGCTGTGACCGCGTGGTCTGTTTACCTAACAGAAACTCACCGAGGTCATCCCCAAGTCAGCGGTGGGGGAGCTGTCAGAGGATTCCAGCAACGTGGTGCAGCTCATTAAGAACGCCTACAATGTGAGTCCCCCTGGCACTCAGCCGGGGACCCTGGGGCTGTCGCAGGCACCCCGCCCTCCCTGCTGCAGGTCAACAGAAGGGTGGGCCCGACAGAAGTGCCCTGCCCCCTGGGGCCACCGTCAGGCCTCCCGGGCAACGGGCAGCGGGCAAGAGCCCGGCTCTTCCCGAAGGGCAGCCATGCCCTCCCTGGGGATGGAGCGGCTCGTCCCATGCCCGAACCTCGCCTCCCCGAAACGGAGCCCCCTTGTAGGCCAAAGTTCCTGGTGGCGAGAGCACCCGATGAGGGTGTCGAGTTACAGCCCTGTCGAGGGGGTTCTGTGTGCTCCATGTACCCTTGCAGAGCCCCTAACCCCCAGAGCAGTACCTCTTGAGCACCAGCCGCTGCCCAGTGTTTCTGTCTACACACCGATGGCACGGTCGCCTGTCCCCGCTCGCTCACTCTGACTCTGTTCCTCTCTCTCCCTCTCTGTCCCGGTCTGTCTCCCACTCCCTTAAATGGGTTTCCCAGCTCCTACCCTGTGCCAGGCACTGGGCACTCAGTGGTGGGCGGGACTGTCAAGTCCCCGTTCTCATGGCTGCGTCTGTCCCCATCTGTGCCCTCCTGGCCTCTCGCGGGGCCATGGCGTGGGTAACCTCGTTCGCACCTGCACGGGGCACAGGACCTAGCGCCTCCCCAGCTCTCAGCGGGCGTGTGGGGGGAGGAGGGAGGGGTGAGAAATGGAGAGGCCTCAGAGCCATTGGCCAGGAAGGGCCCGGGGACAGCGGGAGGAAGCTCCCTAATCTGTAGCCGTTTTTTGCCGGCAGAAACTCTCCTCCAGGGTCTTTCTGGACCACAACACTGTCCCCAACACCCTGAAAGTCACCTATGACTCCTTCTGCAGTAATGGAGTATCACAGGTGGACCAGCCCAGAGGGGACTGTGACGGAGTCCAGATCAACGTCCCGGTGAGGCCCCATTCCGACTGTCGGGAAGGTTCTCTCCCAGGGACAGCTAGGAGTGCACCCAGGCCCACGGGGCAAGCACAGGGACAAGCAGGGGGTATCACCCTCGGCACACTGCTCAGCACAGGGCTCCCGGGTGCAGGAGGACAGAGGGGATGGCAGCGCCCCCTGGGGCAAGATGCTGGGCAGTGCGTCCAGCAAGGAGCAGAGTTCCTTTCCACACACCTCAAGTCTGGTCCGGTTTCCTGATTTTGTGTGTGTGTGTGTGTGTGTGTGTGTGCGCGTGTGTGTGCTGTGTGTATATGTGTGTGGTGTGTGTATATATGTGCGCTGTGTGCTGTGTGTTTTGCAAAGATACTAAAGCATGGGCAACACAGATGATTAAAGACATTGATATTTAAGTTATTTCCATAATATTTTGAATTTATTATGACCATGAGAATTAAATTTTCCCTTTTTCTGGCTGTGAACTAATATTCAGCAAAATACTGCTTTTACTGCAGTTTTAAATGCGACATTGGAATTCCTTCAGATATGTTACTCGCTAAATGTCGCACATAAATTTTTGCTGAAGTATCTCCCCTCACACTGGGTGGACCCACACAGGGATTTATTCAATCTTATGATTGGTGATTGCTTCTTATATATTTTTCCTGATACTTCTGCTCTACCTTCGTGGCCCCAGTGGCAATTCATTTAAGTTGGTCTGGGCCGTGCCTTGCTTTTGACAAGCCGGTGCCCCCCTGAGCTCTGTGCTGGCTGCCCGCGCAGGGAGGGTGGTGGGGCTTTGTGCTGTCACACCCGGTTTCTGCGGGGCCTGTATTCGGGGTCAGAGCACAAGTCCATACCCAGGATCTAGGGCCTCCTGTGGGATTCTGGCATCCTAGCATACCAGACATAAGGAGAAAATATACGTCCTTTTAAGTCATGTAATCTCCTTATTAACACGTGTGTGATAAAAAAATTCTAGAGA